AGAAGTGAAATGATAGGCCTAAATGTAGGTGTGTTTAGTAGCTGAGATGGAAAAAGCATCCAGAAATCCTGTATTTTAATATTAGATCTGGTACCGTGTTACAGAAGGATATGGCATGAGAATAGTAATTAGGTTCTTAGTGTTATTCATTTCATTGTCTGGTATTCGTGCTGTGGAGTAACTTATGTTCACATCCAATTAAAAGAAATGTTTAAAGAAATTCCAGTAGTGCTTTAGAATAATGAAATTACCTTTACAAAGCATTGGCTTTTTGCTGCTTTGTTTCCTTGTGATCCAGAACAGTAGGTGAAGGGGTGAAAACACAGATGTTACATCCTTTTTTTTTTTACTTGTGCTCTGGATTTTGTCTGTAACATTGAGTCTTGCATGTGTGCACCATTGCTCTCCCCCAGGTAAAATGTAAAGCTGTATATATAGATTTAATAGGTTCAACTGCACCTTGTTCTTTTGATGATCTGGAGTCCATTTTCCAAGCGTTTTCTTTTCAGGTAGTTGCATACATCTGCCTGGCAAACTGCTAAATACTTGTGAAGGTTTGCACAACATGGTTTTGAAATACTTAAAATGCTTTCCTTATAGGTTTCTGTTATAACCATTTTAACTATGCTACTGAATTTCTAAATGATCGCTGTAAGCGACTAGAGAACAGTTTGTAGAGACACAAGCAGATGTAGATTTTAGCAGGAGAATTGAAATAAATTGAACCTGAAAATATGGACTGAAAAGCTTAGTATATTTACTGTGACAGCATTGTATTGGGCTCTAGGGCAGCCCTTCAGAGGAGGTTTTGGAAGTCAAGTATATAATTTAAAGTAGATTAGAAAGATACACTACAAAATGTAAGCAGAAAGCCTTCCTGTATTTCAACAGTAAATTCAATGTTGCATGTGTTTGATCAGTGCAAGCAGAATATTTAAAACTGTTACAATTATTATGATGTGTGGTCTGTGTGTTTAAGTTACACATAGTTGACCCTACTTTGGTTTGTGCAACAGCAGGAAGAAACAGATGATTTGTTTCAGTATATGTACATTCCACATACATGCACAGTCTGGGCTAATGCACATGCTACTGCTATTTTTCTGTGTGATTTTGCTTTCTTTTTTTCTCTTGCCTGCACTACTCTTCTGAATTTTGTGGTCTGTGTTGTTCAATTAGGAGATTTTCAGAGTCATTGAATAGTCTCCCTTTGATCTCACAATGTCTTTAATTCAGCTGACACCCCCCAGTAACCCAGCTCAGCTCTGACAGGCTCTGTTGGGATAAGCTTTAAAGTGTAATTGAATAACTCTTACGTTCTGGAAACCTTGGGTACATCTCCCTCCACTCTTTCCCTGCTAATGATGAGGACCAATTCTAAGTGTCAGCTTTTTTAAGGAATATGGTGTAAAAAAGCAGCAAAGTGAGCACCATAATGACAAGCTGCAGTCGTCCTCTAGTAGAAGTAGGTGCAGTAGCAATAACCTGCAATAAAGCAGCATGCACTTAGATCTGTCCTAATCTGGGGCCTTGGAGAGATTCCACACATGCACAGTGTTTTCCGTTTCTTGTTGCTTTTAGGTGGATGGATAAGAGTTTGTGTGTTTTTGAGGTGAACAATTTGTTTCCACTCAGGTAATCACCAGAGCTCTTACATTATGTGAAGGAGATTCAACCATGAGTTCTCTTCAGGTTTCTTCCTTCCATCTGTGGGAGGAGAAGGCAGGCATAAAGAAGGGAAGTTGTCTCAGCCTCTAACAGCGTAATGAACGTTCTCAAAAACCCTGGTAGTGTGGAGTGTCTTATGGCTGGAAATTTCTGGGTAGAGTGTAAAATCCATGGTTGCAGTATAGAGGTTGCCATGCATAGATGAAGACTGATGTAGACTCAGAGTCTACACTGATGAAGGGAGGTTACTATTCCTTCTATAATATCTTCCCAGTTTGGGTTTCCGTGAGGCATTTTATGTGCCCTGTTCCCCAGTAAGACAATCTGTAAGAGTCATTCCATGTAAAAATGATACAATGTCCTGTGAAAGCAAAACTACATTTGAGAAGAAGGAATCCACGTGTAATAGAATAAGGAGGAAAGATACTGACAGAAAAAGACAGGTTTATCTTTTGTATAAGAACAGCAGAACGTATTTAGGAAATAGAAAATGGAATAAAATTATTTAGGACTGAGCTTCCCGAGAGATGCTCTTCTACAATTGCATGAATGTGTGTACTACTTCACATGAATATGAATTCTTATGGTGAGATAGTAATGATGTGATGATGAGCCTACCTAAGATTTTACATTTTTAATGTGAAAGATTGTGATAAGGGTTTTCATATTTATGATGTGGATATTTACTTAACTATACATATCAGAGCAAAACTTAGAAAGGTATGGTAGTCTCTTTTTCTCTTGCTTATGTTATATATAGCAAAAGATATTTCTGATTAGCAGTATTTTTTTACCTAGAAGGGTGACTTCCTTTTCAGGCTTTCCTGTGGTTTTCCTCAGGTAAATACCAGCCAACAGAATTTCTGGTGATAAATTTGTATGCCATTTGAGCTTGGAACTCAAAGGGACCAAGTTGCAGTCCTTCAGAACTGTGCTGCTTTGTGACTTTCTTCATCTCTGTGTTTCATAACCATATCAAACTTCAGCTTGAGCTGTGTCAGAAAGCAGAGGTCCTTATCTGAATCAGGGTGTTCCTAGTTCAAAATAGAAGTATACTGTTTATATCCTATCATGTTTACCATCTGACAGCTTCCTGTGCTCTCCAAGGAATAATTTAAAGATGTTGGTTTAATTCCTATTGCACAGTCATCTGTATCACAGAAGTTACTATTGCATTTGAGTACCTCAGCAGAAACAAGAAGGATTGACTGCTGCTTGTTTCTCAGCCAGCTCTCTTCTCTCAAGGACCTGAATCCCATGTTTGGTAAAGATGATTTAAAGTTTCCATTGTTTTCAGAGGATATCATGTCAAATTCCAGGATGACTCTTATAACCAAGAACTGAGGCAGTGTTATTTTTTAGTTATTTAGTTTACTTCACAAGCCTTGCTGTAAGTGCCTTTCTCTACTTTATGCTTTCAATTCACTTACCTCCTTTTAGATTTGGTCTCTTAGGTACATCAACTGAATGTAAATGGTAATTGGCTTTGCAGGCTAGGCTTTGTTTGTTGCTATGCATGAATTCTCTCCAGAAACAGTGTTCAGCACTGATCCTTTTTTTCTTTATGTCTACTGGAAAATATCACTCCAAGAAGAGAGTGAAGAGACATAAATGACCCACTTGCTGTTCTATCAAAAGCACAGGTAGATTTAATTTACACCAGAAACTGTGACTGGAAAGTGAGCCTATTTCTGAGAGCTCTCTGCTTCCTTTGTTTCCTTTTTAGCTTCACTTCAGATTTTTGTTTCATTTTTTAAGCTCCACATAAATTTTCACCGTGGGTTTCCTTCCCTGTTATTGCCAGCCAGCCCACTGATCAGGCACCAGGATTTCAATCTTGCTAAGTTTGTATATTGTGTTGCAATCAGAAGTCAAATATGTGATAATGAGTGTAATATGCTTCTCAGTGCTGTGATGTTTAGTGGGTAGACATACATTATGAAGACTTTTCTTGCCTGCAGTCTGTGATGAAGATGAATCATTCTTTGGGGAAAGGTTATAGTCATGTTGTAAATCTCATTCTAACAGTGAAAAATAAAATAAAAAAAAGATCCAGCAGTGATAAATAACGACCATCTGGAACCTGAACTATATAATTGTATTATGATTTGTCATCCACATAAGATAAGCTTTTGAGAATGTTTAAGTTGAAGGCATAGACACAGAGATACCAAATGTATTAACTACTTCAAGTACTAAAGTGAAATGAATTTGAACAATATGTTCCATGTGAGGTGGAAAAACTCCTAGAACCAAGACAATGGAATTCCTTGCAGCACAGCTGTATGAGAGTTGGTAGGCATTGGGAGAAGCTGTATAATAGGGTTTACATTGCTTTAAAAAAATAGGGCTCACTTTAATTATTTGACAGATGAAAATTAATTTACATCAAAAGAAGCCTTCAAATGCCTTTTGTGGTTTAACTCTAGTTGATGTGTCTCCAAGGTTAGCAGTGGGTGCAGATGAACTGGGTATGGGTTTGTCTAGCTTTAAGAAATATGTACTGCTGGAAATTATTCTCTTCTTTGACTTGAAGAAAAGAAACAGAGATTGCTGAAAAAAGGCATGGGAAGAAAACAAGAGAATAAAGACAGCTAAGAAATGGGAAAGCAGTGAAAAAAGCAAAATGCCTTGTGAAATAACTACTCTGAATCAACATCACATAAATTTCTGCTTCTGCCAGCTGCCCACTCACTTTCTCTTTTAATAGAAGGAGTCATCATGGTTCTGAAGCAAGTAGTGTAGGGAGCCATGCATTTTCTAAGGAAGTGAGTTTCCTGTCTTAGTGGGATTTAGCTTGCAAGACTGACTTAGTAATGGATTTGATCTCTTTAGGGTGTATATAACGTATCAAAATGGTAGAAGCAGTGTTTTATTTTTCCAGGGACACTCCTCCAATGCAGAAGTGAAGCTTCAAAAATAGCTTTATTATTTCCTTTTTGAATGCAACAGTAAAAAAATTTAATTCTTTAAAAACCCTTTTACCGACATTCATTTAGTCTCACAATGCTTCTGTGAGGGAGGCATTAATATAACATATGCTTTGTAGATATGAATCTGGAACACCAGATAAGACAGTGGGTGGTTTGTCCCACACCTATCAGCAAAGCCTCAGAGTACAGACATGGTTAGAACCTGGACAAACCTGGCACTGAGTCTTGTGCTCATTGCTTGTAGCCAAGCCGTCTCTCAACTGAGGTATGTCTAGGGACAGGCACACAGGAGACTTGCCAGACTTGCAGAGCTGATTTGTTTTCTGAAAAACTACTTAGGTGACTAAAATCAAAGACGTGTTTTACTGACATCTGTTATTTCTCTTCCTTTCCTTTTAGCTGGTCTTGCCAGAGTACTCTATCCACAGTCTTTTCTGCATAATGTTTTTATGCGCTCAGGAGTGGCTCACGCTGGGGTTAAATGTTCCTTTGCTTTTTTATCACTTGTGGAGGTAAGCCCTTCTTTTATATGCTACCCACTTTTTAGCCTTGCTTGCCAATTCAGCACACATGCAGATTGTATGAACAATGAAGGACAGTGATAGGAGTATGGATGAATATCTTTTGCCCAGAGGCTTATGCCTATAAGCAGCTGAAACTTACATTTCCAGCAAAAAAGGAAAGTTTTTCATGAAAATTTAGTGGAGATATATATATATATATCTTTATATATCTCCCCTATCTTTCTTTATATATATATATATATATTTATATTTATATATTATCTCCCCTATCTGTCTCTCTCTCTCTCTCTCTCTCATATAAATGTTGCTTTCAGTTACTAACTTAGGTAAATATTCCAAAGAGTGTCAGGATGCACACACTGCAACTGAATGAAAACATGGAATTTAAATAGGCTGGAATCTGAGTGTGGAACTCGGTGAAGCTCTAAATACTTCACAGATGGGGAGTTGTAAGACAGTTGGTATTTGAAAGAGCTTGGACCTATTCATTCAGCCCTAACAAGGAAACCTTTCCGTTGGAGTTATGAAATAAAGACTGGGCAGATTGACAGATTTTTGCATCTCATCTTCTTTGGCAGCTTTGTGATTTTTTTTTCAGTATAAAATAAATTGTTTCTTTCTGTACAATAGGGAATTGATGTTCTGCAAGAGAATTCTCTCTTAGAGACTCTTGGAGTAGAGATTGGAGTAGGTGAAGAACTATTGTCTTCACACTGCACGTGAAGAAGTGGGGAGTATTTCCACTCTGGATCTCTGATACGTGTTTTTACTCACCAAGGGGCTTTCAGAATTGATCACGTAAGACCTGCTGCTGTTTTCCAGATGGGCAGTACAGCTGCTGCTGCTGCATCTTCCTCTGCATTCTAGTGGAGGATCAGCCTTCTCTTGCCTCTGAAAATGACCAAGAGACATCAATTTTTGCATTTGTCAGTCTGGAGTCTTCCCTAGTTTTGAATTTTCACAATGTTTGTAAAAGCACAGATGATTTTTGTCTGTCGGGGTCTCTTTGTGTTACAAAGGTACATATGGTAGCAGAAGAATAATTCTGTAAAGAAGTCAAAACCATCATCTCAAACAGAAACTAAAAAGTAGTAGCTTTTTTACACTTTTTTTTCTGCAAAACCTTGGTAGTAATGCAGAGTCATGTGATAAATTCAGAAGTTAGAGTGCCAGTATAGTTCTCAGAAAGCTGAATGAAGTGAAGCTTCAAGTGCTTTTCTCCCTATTGTTTGGCTGCAATAAGAATAACAATGTTTTATGGTGCTGTCTTACTAAGGGTTAACAACCAAAGTGTGACAATAATACTCATTTTAAAAGTTTCTAGAAACAAATATGTCCAAAAGGAAAATGGTCAGACTCTAAATAATGACATCAACCTTTGGAGAGAACTTTTGATTCTCTCTTTTTTCTGTGATTCTCCGTATGCTTTGCTATAAGTACTCCGTAATTTCTGCTGCTTTAACCACAGACAGGTTTGGGTTCATTGTGTAAAGTTCTGCACAAAGCCATGGGAAGACACTGTGTAATATCTTCATCCCAGTGAAGATAATTAAGAAAGGTTTCACCTGTGGTCTCCATAAAAGAATTTGCTATCTTATTAGAGACTGTAAGTGGATGTGATTAACATTGTAAGGGAGGAAGGCAAAGTTATTTTTAGAACATCTGCTTCCAAAGTTCACTGCTGGTCACTTGTTTGGGGGTTTTATATCTATCTATCTGTTTGTTGATCTATAAGCAGTCAGCAGTCCTCAGTGTTTAGCATGTCAAAGCAATAGAAATAACAACATTTTATCTGATTCATGCTGATCTTAAAGCAGTTCATTAATTTTGTTGAGGACTACTTTTTTTTTTGTTTGCTTTTGCTTTTTACTGCAAAGTAACTGAGACAAAAGTTCCTTTGCCAGTGATGTTGTTTTGTCATGATTTTCTCAAACATTCAGTTGTTGCTGAGAACAATTAGAAATTTCTCTTAGGTAAGAAGAAAAATATTTTTCAAATAAAATTATTTGGATGATAAATTTTTGAGCAGTGCCACATGTAGAAAACCTTAGTCAGCTGGCTCTTACATTACTCCATATTGTTTTCTCTTTCCTTTTCAGAGTTGGAGGAACTTAGCTACCATCTGGTTGAGACTGTCACCTTTCATCATATCTGAAAAAAGTTGTGTAGCTGCAGTTAAAACCCAGTAATCCTTCCTGTATGCTATGATCACAAGCCACCATATATTATCACTCACAATATGTGAGTTACTAGTAAGCCAGAACTAACTATATAGGAAGTGAGAATGTTTCAATCTAAAGAATTGATAGAACACAAAAAGTCCACATTCATTAAGTGCTTGGTTCTGTAAGAAAAGAGTACTTACACTGGCATCCTGATTTTAATTATGTCTGGAAATAGAGACTTGGAAAAAAAGGGAAATTCCTCCTATATGGTGGTCTTCTGAGCTGGTGATCAGGAGGGTGAATATCTGCACATATTTAATACAGAATATTATAGAGTCATTCCAGATGTCTTCTCCTGCTCTTTCAGGTATTTTCGTTGCCCAGCAGATAGTTCAGAGCTGGCCTATGATCCACCTGCAGTCATGAATGCAGATACCTTGAGTTACTGCCAAAAAGAGGCCTGGTGTAAGCTGGCTTTCTATCTCCTTTCCTTCTTCTACTATCTCTACTGGTAAGTTTGGTCATTTCACTAAGAAAATAATAGCTGCTTTTCATTTCACTTGTGAAACTGTATTTAGAAACAACTGGAACCAATTGGCCAGTTTCCTTAATCTCATAAAACTTGCTTCTGATGTTGATTCAGGGAAGCACACCCACTTACTGCTGACACCTCAGTACAGAATATTAAGTGTTCATCTAAGGCCTGAGCCAGGCCCCAGGGCCAACTCAAGGAAATAACTTTTGCTCCTCTGTATGGTGTCTTAGGATGGATGAAATAGGAAAATTTATATTAATGGTATTATGTCAAATAAAATTATAACATCCTTATGATTCAAGAGGATCATAAGAAAAATACTGCACCTGCTGGTGTAGTGATACTCAAGATGGTAAATCAATGGGTATGTGGATGCTGGCTGGGAACTTGGGATGCACCATGCCTGTAGTCATTCCTACAGGCTCCCTTTCATGACAGGGTAAGCCTGTGCATGGTCCAAACCCCGAATTAAAGTACATTCATGAAGATATGCACCCTAGTTGTGTGTTGTCCCTCCTGCTCCTTTCAGCTGTCAGATATCAGTGCACAGTCACAAATGCCCAGTGCAAAAATATGTGAGGATCACATTTAAGGTAAGGACTTGGCAGAATCCCTGCGCTTTTAGTCACCCCCATAATCACCATAAAAACTACTTGACAACAAACTTTAGGACACTTTAAATGGAGGTGATGTTCTATGATGCCTTTCTTCTACTCCTTCTTCTTTAATGTATTTGCACAGAGTTGCCTCTGCCAGTCTTGCATGTCGTCATCCCTCTGCAAGACAGGTTTGTGTGCTGGTGGAAGAAAAGTGTTGTTTCTCCCAAATGATGGTCTTTTATCTGCTCCCCATATCTTGAGTCATTGCTGCAGGTTGTTGTTTCTCGATATGCCTTTTAAATACTATTGAGAACAAAGTTTTCTCTTTGCCTTGAGTGTGTCTGTGCCTGTGTCTGCATATGAGAGCAAGAAGCTGGCAGGGGGGCCTAACTCACATGAAGATGGATATGGCATGACAATCTGAGAAGTAGATTAGCATCCAGTAGCTTTTTGGGTTTAGGCTGAGCACCTTTGCCTGTCCTCTTCATGGGGCTGAGAGTGAAAAGCATGGCAGTTATGCTAGAGGAGCTCTGTTGGTAGTGTAAGGAGAGATGGCAAGGAATGGCTGGAGAGAAAAGCATTTTTAACTCCATGTTTTTGGGTTGGGGATCAAAGCCAGCTGTGTACTGTGGTCTAGCATTTCTGCTGGGACCTCAGTGTTGTGCAGCTTCCTGTGAGCCCTGCTTCCTTCACTCTAAAATGTGGCCATAATCCAAAATCCACTGCCTGGTGCTAAATAAAGTGGTATAAATTACATACAATTTTACAGTGCTTTCCTGGGTATTGGCAGAACTAGAGTTGCAGTAAAATGGAGCTGTGGCAATATACTGTGTTTTCTTCGCTTCTCAGAGTTGTGTTTAATATGTATGGACTCACTCCAGCTGGTGCATTTTATGTTTCTTCTACTGCACAGAGTTTTTTTCCAAAATAATCAAAACAATGCAGTTTCATGGAAAACCTTGCCTGCCCTGCTGAGAGTTGCTGGTTGAAGTTTTAAAGATCAAACGTGCTAAAGCAAAATGGTTTTGTTTCTTCACTGTTCAAATTGAGACATCAGACTGAGCTTTAAAAAGCTCAAACGCAGCTTGTGGTGCAGTAGAATGTCGATAATGAATTTGTTATTTCTTGAGTGCCTTTTGATACCCATCTTGAATGCACCATAATTAAGATGCTTTAGAAAGATAGAAAGAATGCAAAGGAAGGCACAGGCCATTACAGTCAGACCTGAGGAACAGACAGCAAAGGGTTGTAAAAATCAAAGTACTCTGTATGCTTCAAAAGGATGCTTTCATAGTGTGTCTTTCTTTTACATTCAGCATGATCTACACACTGGTGAGCTCTTAACTGAAAGATCATCATTAAAGACTGAAAACAACAAAGACTGGAAGTGCAAGGACAAGTGAACCAAGTGATGCATGATTAAAAAAGCAACGAGGAAAAATTTGAACCCAAGCAGTAAATAGAGTACATGAAAGAGAGACCCAGCAAGAAGAAGCAGATGACCATGGGAGAACGGCTGAGTTAATTGTTTTTGTCTCCTGTTTCTCAGTGTATTGCAGTAAATGACTTTCAAAATCCAAGCAAACAAAAAAATGCAACAAGGGCCAAGTTACACAGCTATTCACCTGTCCAGGGATAATGCTGCTTGCTTTAGTGGATTCATTATAAACTATACTCCCTACTGTCTTCCAGGGAGCAAAGTTTCTTTTCTTAAGGACTCTTCTGGACTGAGGAAGCAGAGGACAAGATAATCTTACACAGAACGAAGACCTATACAGTACATTCTGAAAATGAGCACTGAGTGGACTTCAGATAAGATAGATGACTGTCCTGAAGGGTTATTCACATGATACTAAGCAAACAGGGATGTCAAATCTCATGGAACTGTTTCAGTGGTTTTGTTTGGGTTTTTTCCACCAAAATGACAATGACAAAAGAATTTGCAGTTGCAATATTCTGTTTTCTGATTATATGCTATTCCTGCAGGTGAACGCCCAGTATGTTTCTGTACTTCATTTGTGATACGCCAGTAACATACAGTGATATGTATAAATACATTGGGTTTGACCTAATCATGCCAAGCACTTATCAGAATAGTGTTCCTCTGACTGGAAAAAGATCCAAGGTAAAAGCTGCATATACTAAGGAGGGTTGTAACATAGGTATTATATTCATCACAATGCTGGATAACAAATACTGGACCAGCTAATCGTGGTCTGTAATTCTGTTTTACAGCTTTATTTCTGCTGTAAAATTTAAGCCAGAACAAATACACAAAATGTTTTTGTCTTGTATGACATTCGTATTGAAAGTTGTTTTTATAATTTAAAAGTTTTTAAATTTTATCATACAAGTCTCATTTAAATTCACATATATGGGCTGTATGTCTTTATATATATATATATATACACAAATACACATCTACATAAATACTCACAATCTATTTACATTTTAGGTTAATCCATCAAGATCAAAGGTGTCAAGTGTCCAGAACTGCTGCTAAATGTATTTCAGCACTGAACCTAGTGAACCTGGGCTCATTCCCTCAGTCACTGGTGGTCTGGGTAGTAGGCAAGCCTGTAAGTTCAAGACTAACACCAGTGCATGCACAGACAGTGCTTGGATCTTGCATTGTGAATGAGCTAACAGTTGGGTATGTTGCTAACAGAGATGTGGCAGAGAACAGTGCAGAGAGGCCCATCTGTACCCCAGCTTGTTTACAGCTGATCTTGTTAGCACTAGCTCACTGTTGACCCAGCCAAATTTTGTCTGGCTACTGAGAGCCAGTAGACTGTTCCTGTATCCAAACTCTGAGATCTTTTTCGTCTGGGCACAGGACTTGAGCAGGAGAGATGCAGTCTCACGTTCAGCACTGCCTCTGTGCTAACATACCCTGTTTCAGAGCGTGGTGCAGAAGCTATGGCTGCGTGAGTCATCCCACGTCTGCCAGGTTCCGGACTGAGCTGGAGTTACTGTATGTATGCAGCTCCAAGACTCTTTCTGCTTTGATCTGGCTACATTAACAAAATTAAATCCTGTTAGCCTGCAGAGCACAGTGTCTGCATGCAAACTATCTGCTCCTGGGCCGCACCAACTCTGGAATCACACCTGGACGTTGCTTGGAAGAGTGCTAGCTGGTCTGAGCAAACATTATGCCGCATTCATTCTAACAACATTTAGATGATGAAGTTGTCCCAGGGGCTGACGTTCTTTAATTCACAAGTACAGACATATCCAGTAGGTCTTTCTGGATGTAGTTTAGCTTCATACGAGTATGTTCCCAGTTCTGGAAGCATACAACAAGGCTGACAAATCAAATTACTTGGAAAACTAATTTGGGCTCTTATAGTTCATAAGTTTGGATTGCAAACACTACAGAGGTGGCTAAACTGCTCTTGAAATCACCCTGACCCTGCAAGCAATACAGATGTGTTTGCTTGGAGTGAGCTTGGGCTAAGAAACTTGGGCTAAGAATCTTCACTGGATCTTTATGGAGCTAACTCATAAAACTCTGCTGCTATGGTATAATTAATGCACAACTCATAAAAAGTTGATGATTGTAACTGAATTTCTTCCTTACAACCTAACTAATGCATCTAGTTCTACAGAAGTATAGGAACTAGATTCACAAGAACAAATTACAGTGAATAACTTCTAGATATCTTGCTACCTCATAAAACTCAACTCTGAGCAGGTGACTGAATCTTTCCATGCATCTTCTAGGATGTATAGGAGATGGAAAGAGATTAATTCAGGTTTCCTATATTCCAGATACATGCTTTAAAGTCAGTTTCATTAAAAGGCTTGGAATTTTTTTGTGTGTTTGGATGGGTGAAAGATCGATCACATCTTGCCTGAAAACACACAATTTTCAAATCCTGAGATTTAGGCATGAGCTGGACTGCTAGCAGGTCAGTTGTTTGCCTACAGGGCTGGATAGAAGCTCTGTGAGTTGTTGTAACTGGCATTGTCATGTAATTCTTGACTTTGCACAAGAAGCATTTGCATATGTGCGTCTTCTGAATGAACCTTCAGGTGACTTCAAGAACATAATGCTTGAATGGACTTGCTGGGTCATTTCAAACAGGTTCTCTATTTCAGGCAACTTCATCAATGTACTTATCAAACTCCACTTGAAAGCAGAACACTTTGTATGATCCTACTACTGCTTTAAGCAAGTGTTTCCAAGATCTCACTGCTCTGGTACTAGAAAGTTTTTCTGTATTTCCAGAGTAAATTCATTCCTAGATAATTTATTCCACTTGCTTTGGAGCCAACATTAGCCTAAATACACCTTCTCTCATGCTGCTTAAGACTTCAATATATAGAGAAAGGAGTCCTTTTCAACCTCCATTCTGTAAGAGCGAGCTGTCTCACGTCCTCCTGTAGAAAAGCTCTCCATTCCCCATGTCTTCTTTAAAGGATTTCTCTGTTGTCTTTACAGTCAAATTAATCTTTCTTAAGAGTTGATGATCACAGCTGGTCAGAGTATTCTGGAGAATATCTTACTTTGACTAATCCTTACTATGAATGGACAATGAAAGCTAACGTTCCCAGTTCTTTCTAATAATCCTTATTCAAAAAAGTAATCACACTGCTCTCAATAGCATTTTGTTTCTCTTCAAGATAAATCTTAGTTTAAAGTTGATGGAAAAATTGTTTAATATTAGGATATTTTCCCTTTCATTGTATTTAGTGAAACTTCTCCTGAGCAGAAATAATTTATGAAACTGGACAAAGCATTAATTGAAGGAAGTTTCAATGCAAAACAGGTATTGCCAAGTCAAGACCTTCAAAGGTGTCTGCCAGTATCTAGAAGCTGCTAGTGCTCTGGACCTCACAGACAGCAGGGTAAGATACAGCCCTCAACATGTTCCTTGCTCTGTGTTTTTACCCATGGGTTGCAGTATCTTGCTGGGAACTCATATATAGTGAATGTTCTTAAGACCAGATTTGTCATTTTCTCTGTTAGACTTGTCAGCCGTGTTATAAGAGAAGAAGCACAAATAGAGGAAGGAAGAATGAAGGATAAAAGACAACTGTTGCTCTCTTAGTCCCTCACCGTGTATGTGACTGATTACAAGCAAAGTCTACTTCAGCCAGAGGATGGTTGGGGAGTAGAACAGGCTCCCCAGGGAAGTGGTCACAGCACCAAGCCTGACAGAGCTCAAGAAGCACTTGGACAACGCTCTCAGGCACACAGTGTGATTGTTCTGGCTGTCCTGTGCAGGGCCAGGAGCTGGACTTCAATGATCCTTGTGAGTTCCTTCCAACTCAGGATATTCTATAATTCTACTTTAACCAAAGCAAGGGAAGTAAACTGCATAGTTGTTGCTGAAAAACAGAAGAAAATAGTGTGATCTTTGGTCACAAGGAAGTTTCTTCCCCTTGTCACACTTTTAAGGAAGAAATAATGCATGCTACCCCTTTTTGTCTCCAGTTCCATCTTGTTGGTTGGTGAAGGGTAGAGATTTTCTCCCCAAGCCTGCTTCCTTCCTGTCTCTTTTCCTGAAAGGGTGAATGTCATTACTTAGGCACAGCAGTCCTCTTCTCTTCTCTTACATGCTCTGATGATACAGATAGATCCCAGAAAAGATATAAGAAAACACCTCATCTCTCTTTGCTCCTTCAAGCAAGTGTGCAGTGAGCACATGCTTAAGTATTTATTTTCCTCATTTGTACCATCTGTGAAGTGAGAAAGGTGAACCTAGCTTGTGAAATCTTTCCATATATGTAGTACTCTTTTTTTTTTCCCCATAACTGTTGGATCTGCTTAAGGGAAAAAGGTAGAACATGAAAAGAAAAAGTGGAAGAGGATAAGACCTGAATGAGCTGCTTACCCAAGGGGTAGCTACACAATGTGCTGACCTGTAGCTGCCTGTTCCTGGAAGGGATGAAAAGGCAATCCTGTTGGCAAGGTGTTGCTCTGAGGTTCTGCCCATCCTATTTTTAGTCAGGTAATTGCAGTGATGCTGAATAAAATTGTTGCTGCTATGACTGTTTCAGTTTCAAATACAGCAAATCAGCGCTGATAGCAGAATGCTTCGCCTACAAATAATTAGCTATACTTAAGCTGTCAGAAATGTTTTTCCATCTGCTTCCTTGAGCCATATTCTTCCTTTTGCACTAAGCCACTGAAAGTGGAAGAAAAAGTTCTGTAACCTACACCTTCTTACAGAAGCTGTTCTGAGGTTGTTATTATCTGGCACTGCTGCTGGGTCATGATTACTCATACATTATTAATAGGGGTATTAGCAATCTGTTGCTTTTCCTTTCTCTATTCCATCTCCACACAGATATTTTTGCTAAAAAAAAAAATGTACAGGGCATGATCCAAAAATCCTTGAATGTAATGAGTATTTTCTTTTGTTTCCAATACACTTCATCTATAATGTCCATTACTCTAGAGCTACATGGGAAACAGGGTCGCACTGGAAAGTCTCTAGAGTTTTGCTAGTAGAAATCCCATCCTTTAAAGCTTGATATCACATCCATTTAACTGAATTATGTTAATGGAAGAGGGACCTTCATTTTTGAGGCATAAGGGTAACATTTCAGTGCTCGTGCCAAACTGTCACAGAAAGTTATATCAACTTGGTAAAAATCTGGCTTCATGGAAATTTATGGAAATCATACCTCTTTTTTTAATGTGAGCCCCACTTACCATTGTAAAATTTCTACCAAGAGGTCAATTGAAATTAAAAAAAGGAAAAACCCCAAACACAATAAGTTTAGTTAATCGAAAATGTTATTGAATGTTAGATAAAGCTTGGGGTGCTACAAATAGAACAGGAGATGAAAAAGTCAAAGCCAAGAGGGTTTTTTTTATTATTTGGGAAGCAACAAATATTAGACTGCCACCCATGCTGCACTGAATTTTACATTGGTGATCTCAGTCCATATTCCTGCTCTGGTGAGTTTTTTAATCATTTATTGCTCATGAATACATTGTTCTGATTTATTTTTGTTCTGCTCAGTAATGCAGTTGTAGGTGGGAAGGAGGAAAATTCTCCTCTGAAATATAATATTCGCCTTCTTTTCTCCCAGATAACCTGTGAACATGCTGTAACAAAATTCTGATGATGTGTTCCGAAGGTACACCTCAGATGAAGAATGAAGCTGTTTGCTGCAGATGATATTATGATGCAATTCAACAAACCACAGTTTTAGAAATATTTTTAGGTGGTTACACACTTAAAGTAGTTATTTTATTGCCTCTAATTGCTGGCCAACTTCTCATGTAAGAGAAAATATACTTCTGTGGCCTGATTTCATGACTTTCTTTGTAGTCAAACTCTCAGTAAAACTGAGGAACATGAAGTGCATTTTAATTATTTTTTTTCTTAAGAATGACATCCCATATTTGGGTGATATGTTATGGAAGTGGAATGAAGCATTAAAAAGCCAAAATATCTTACTTAGTCTAAATTTTGAAGAGATGTTCCTCCTTTTCTTCCGTGAATTATTCCTAATATCAGTGGTCTCTTGACAGATCTGAAGAAATGTGCCTGTCCCACTATTCTGACAGTTTCAGTCTTTTTAAACAGATTTACCACCACCGATCATTAGCATGAAACACTGACTGGAAAGCATAGCTCCTACAGACTACCCCAAGATTTATGCAAATGTCTTAAATAACACTGAAGTAATCCAGTCTTATGGAATAGCTCACACCTGTGCATAGTAATGTAAAGTAGCAATCAAATAATATAAATAATACATAGCACAAGTCAAATAGTACAGGCAAAGTAGGATTTCTAACTATATTTCTGTGTTCTATCTGTAATACATTTTTTTTTGTAATACAGTATTTTGCTTGTTGTAGAAAGCAATATAATATACATGACCAAAGATAATCAGGCTGCTGCAGTTAGCAGGAATGTAGAGTTTGAGCATAGTTATTTCTAAACATTTCAAATAATTACTGTTTCTGACAGTTATTGACAGCTTGCAGTTACTGGAGGTGCAAATTCTGGTGTTAATAGTAGCTTTAGCAATACATACGTTTGCTTCTTTTGGAATAAGAATCCATATTCCTTTCTAAAACATATTTAACACATTTTCGGACCTTACATGACTCTCAGTATATAGACACTTTAAATGTATTACAAAAAATCCGAATAAAATGCAAATACAAAATACAGCAAACATGGCAGGTTATTTAGCAAATTTCTTGACAACCTTCTTATTCAAAGAAAATTTCTTGGTTTGATGTCATTGTGGGTCTCTGGACTGTCAAAGTCCACCTGAATGCTGCCATTGCCAACACCAACAGTTCAACACGAATACGAGGAGATGCACGCTCGGTTATATCTTCTCAACTGCCCAGAAACATCTCATCATGTAGCCACCTTTCCTGCAGAGCAGATGACATCCACTTTGTCACTTTCAATCCCTTGACCTTTTAGAAGGGAAGAACATCACAGTGCAAAACTGTTCTTAGCCATTTGCAGCCAATGATGTTGACCTACCTTGCCCTTACAGGCACGTACTGGTCTCCAGGTTGAAAAATACCATCAAGCAAGAGCAGTTTTCACTAACCTGTTCTTGAGCTTCAACTTCTACTATTTTGGAGTGGGTTTTTTTGTTTGGTTTGGTTTTTTATTTTGTCTGAAAGGAAGAGTTGTTTTATATGCATAATGACCAGCATTGCTACATTGGTTTTGGAAGCTTTCTTCAAGCTCTCTTTTGTTTGGTGCATTTTAGTACATATGAAAGCATACTAAATCCATGTCTTTGAAATGTGTTTCTCCACAGGCCTAATTTTCAGTATTCCTGCTCTTCCAGTGCTCAGTAGTTGCCCAGTCATAAAGAGCTATATAAATGAATTATAAAGTTGTATAAAATAACTCAGGGAGGAGGCCTCTTACATATCCTTTCTTATAACATAAAAACAATGGGAGCACTGAAAGAAAATGTGAAGCACAGATGCAAAATATGAAAAGAAAGATAAAGATTTTAATCAATGAACACATTGCCACAACTGATACGAGTTATCAGGACACCGAATATTCAGTATTGTTCCATTTGAACCTATACCCTTATGCAGATAACAAACACTTCCATAGCTACATTTGAAAGAATAAAACTATAGAAGAGTTAGAAACCCAGACCTTTCAGGAGCCATCCAATTGCCAGTGGTTCGAGTTCAGCAGATTATTTACCCTATGACCTGCTTATCTAGTACAAAGTATTTTCCACTTTGTTCTGAAATGTCTAGAGGTGGCTGCTATCAGTGATGGCAGCTGAAGCCAGATGGACCATTGCTGTGTTCATTCAAGGACTCAGATTCTGTTCTTGAATGACCATAGAACATCTACAGAATTGGAAGCCGTGTTTCAAATTATTAACTTCTCTACACTGATAAAAATTTCAAAATCTCCCAAATGACATTGGAGCGTAAGTGTATTTTCACAAATACTTGTTTATTTACTTAGAATCCTAAAAACCTCATGAAAGTGAGATGAAAGACTTGCCCATATACCAAGAGTTCAGTACTCAGGAGAGAGCAGTAAGAATTTGGCCCGTGGTAGCTATTCCTCACCAGGTCCTTGTATTTGCTCTCGATACTCTACAACCTTGTAAAGCAAAGTCTGCAGTTTCACAGGTAGTTTGCACTGGAAGTGCCCACAGAGGAAGTTGATGCAGTATAGCTAATGTATTCTTTGGTCCTTTGTTGCTCTTTTAAATTCACTTTCCCAACAGATGAACCCTTAGACTCCTGAATTCTTTAGGCACTTTAAAGTGTTATTTGAGTACAGTCTGCTCACTTCTGTTAACTGCAGGGTACATGCTCTAACCAACTAACCAAAAAGGATATAAAAATAAGGCAAAGCCAGATAATCCTTTTTAAGAAATTAAGTTCTCATCATTGAATTATCAGAACTGAGAAATGAGAGTTCAGCTCTTGCCTGTTACACACCCTTCCTTTGTCACTTTGGGCAGGCACTTAATCTCTCAACTCACAGTCTCCTAACTGGAGGTGATGGCGCTTTCTTCTCCCTCATTTTGTCTGTCTTGTCAGTTTAGATTATGAGCTCTTGTGAGATGGAGCCATTTCTTTCTCTGAGTAATGCCTGGCACTGCGTAGCTGAAATTGGGAATTACATGTCTAGATGGTATCATAATCCTAAATAATTAATACTTTTTATCATAGGAGGAAACAACAGAATTCAATGGAATTAGTCAAAATGTATTTTTTCCTGTGTCACCAAGATTGGTACCTGACCTGGTCTGTTGCTGTGCCTTAGGGCCTACTGACAAACTGAAGTGTGCTTTAGCCTCTGAATGCATGTAATGCTGTAATTTGATGCTGCCAAAAAGCACTAAAATGTAAAGAATAAAATGATCCAAACAGCTCCCCATTTCAGTATTTTGCACCCTTCTAATTCCTATTTGCTTTACCCTTTTTTCCTGTTCTTTTATGATACAGTGGCATTCTGGCACCTTTTGGTGTTGCATTAAAAACAAATCCAGTGCAAGCTCAGACTAAAACAATGACACTGATTTTAATCCAAATTATTAATCTGTGTGTACATTTATTGGAGAGTAAAATTATCCTGTTTTGGTTTTAACCAGGTACAAATGGAAATCAGCTATTTTGACAGAAATCCTTTTCATCCTGGTATAAGAATAAAGCCGCATTTGTGCGGGAGTTTGATGTTTAAATGTGCATTAGCACAAATTCATTATTAGGACAGATCAACAGCACAGAAGTTGCCTCAATTTGGCAAAGGATGATATATTTTTATAGATATAACCTAGCTGCAGAACCGCAGAGCTGTGTTCACAGGCAGGAGCGTGTCCCAGTTGCAAGCACTGGTGTCACCTTTCATGGTGTGGAGTCATGCAGGTCACTGGGGGGCTTTTGGCAATGGCCTTGAATTTGCACTGCAGCCTCTGAGGAGTGTTCACAGGTTAACCCCACTGTGGGACCGGTGTTCGTAATCACAAGGGAAGCAGAACCACCTAGGAAGCCATTATATTAAACAGTGCCAAACTTCTGCAAAGCAGATACATGTTTTAACCCTCGTTTCTTCCACCACAGTTTATATCACTCTTGAATTTGACCACCTGATATTTTGGTTCTAGATCCTCAAGTTCAACTCTAAAGCAGACTTTTTTCCTATACTTATGTATATATTGTCTAAGAGATTGCATGAGATGAACTCTAAAGGGATCTAATTTTTTTTTATATCCCTTTTATCATCCATTTATAGGCCTTTAAATACTTTGTTATTTAACTACATGCTCCTTGATGCACACACACATACACAAGCCATCTAGAAGCTAAATAAATTCTTGCCTGTTAATAAAATAAACAAAGGGAAGTGTTCTTCTGTTATCTTTGTGTATCTGCCACTTATAGCAGGTCCAAACAGTAATATTACTTATGGGGTTATACTGAGCAAGAAAAGAAAACTGTATTTCTGGAGCACATAGGCTTTTCTAAGATGTTAATTTAAAATACATTTTTGACAAGTGCTGCTGGCAGGTTCAGAGGAGCTGCTGTGGGGTCATTGTAAGCCACACCACCTCAGGTCATTTGAGAGCCTTTTTTCAAGGGATGTTGAAGACACTCCCTGAATGTGTTCATTCTTTGGCTCTTTGGCCTCGAAAACCTAAATGCAGTTAGCAAGGTCTGCAGGAGAAAGCTAAAGCTGATCTGTCCTGCCTGTCATCCAGAGAACTGCCATATTTCCAGCAGCAACCAGTGCTTTGGCTTTGAATATCTGTGAAGGAATCTGTTGTATTTTCTATCATGGTTTTGCCTTATGAGAGCAGACAATGTCCCTTTAAGTTAATTATTAAACAAGATTGTTAGGTTGTATTGGAAAATGTGACTCATTCTTTCAAAACCTATTGCCTTTAAGTAGTAGTAGTATTTATCCTCCAAAAGCTTCCTGAAGTGGTAGTGGCAGCAACAGAATTTTAATGTAACTTCTCTCATTCATCACTTGAAGTCTACAACAACAAGCAATGAATTTTTGATGAACGTTGTCAAGCTTTCTTTGGATTGTAATAGCAGTTTTATGAGCTTCAAAAAAGTTCAGAGGCAATTTGCTATGACTGTATCTACTTTTTTTTCTCTATGAGCACTCAGCCCAGTGCTGAGCACTGATACGTTACCAGATTAGACAGTCTTGTTCCTGTGTTTCTGGTGTAAATGAAAAACTATGTACCAGATATTACAAGTATATTTTTTAGAGAAATCCCAATAAAAGCTGCCAGACTACAGAGTTCCTTTTAAAAATTTTTGTATATATCTACAGACATAGATATGGATGATATAGATATAGATCTTGTTGCTGTAAGTATAATAAACCCATTGACAGTGTCTAGAGGCAATCTTTTATCCTGGAGCACTGGGAGTAATTATGAATTGATGATGTTTTTTTCATTCGATTATAGGGCTCTATTTTCTCTCTGCAGCATGTTCTGACATCCATGAAACACACTTTTGTCTCTGCACATATCTTGTTCCCAAAGCATGGTACAGATTTTATCAGAGATAAATAGTGTGTTCTCAAATGAGGACATTACTTTTGTCATTTCTTATTTTGTCATTTTGTTTTTGTGCCTCATTCTGCTAGAGGCTAGAGTCAGAACTACTGAGAACTCAAAGACCTGGAAATTTGTTTACTGTTAACACAACCTTTGCAGTCACCAGTATTGTTGGCTACAAAAATAACTTGTCCTTTTAAAAGTTTGCCTGGTAACTTTATGACTTGCAGAAACCTTGGATACAGTTTTTCACCTGGATTGGGGCATATCTGCATGGCTGCCTTGTTTCAAGTCTCTCATGAAGACAAAGCAACTGATCTACAAAAGATTCTTGGCACTCTACAAAGCCGAAACGGAGCAGAGCTGCTTTGCCATGTCCTTGCCAATGCCTGGGGGCGATGGGCTCTTGGGAGGACTCCATCCTGCCTCACTAATTCTGACTGCTGGAGTGGTTCCCAAGGGGAGCTGCAAGTATCTGGACCAGGCTGAGATCAGCTTTCTTATTATGTTAAGTGATGGGCAACTCTGCCAGTTCTAGCTTTGTTTCTCCAGTGTTTCTGTTCAGCAATATATCAAAGTGATAGAGTAACACTGGGGAGGTGCAGCAAAAATATACAAGTTGTTTAATCCTCTCAGGACAGACAGATGTTTATCAATTCTACCCAACTATGCATATTTCAGTTTCAGTCACTGATGACTTTAACAGGCTGTATGTGCAGAGCTGAATTTGTCAGGAAAACTGCTTCATCAGTAGTGGGTGAAAGAGGAGACCAAATGATATTCGAAGTGATATGTACTCTTTTAAGCCTGACTTTTGATTCTGTAGTTTCTCCAGAATGTTCAGGAAACTCTCATAGTGTCAGTCTTTGTGATTCATTTGTCTGTGACTAGTGATCCCTCTTCACTTGAAGATTCCACTTACTGATTGGATTCCTGATCGATCTTACTTCCTTGATCAGTCACAGTGGCATAACTTCTGGCTCTTTCTCCTTGTTCCTTCCTGGAAAGCTTCCTGTCTTCTCAATTTCTGCCAGGTGATGTCTGGAGCTACAACTTTTCACAAAAAAATTGGAAGTTTGACTTTTGACATGAGATGTCCATGCATAGCTCAGACAGCAGAATCCCAGAACACCAGAGTGTGGATGAGGTGGGTTATGTTCCATGTCTTCACTGTAGGGAAGGTAGACTGATCTCATCCCGTGATAGATGCCAATCTTTGGTAACCCTAAGCCCTGTGAAGCCCCTGGGATGCTTGTATCATAGATGTTCCTACCTAATTGTTCATTCCGACTGCCTGGACTAGTAACCTGTTTCCTACAGTGGCCAGAGTCTGAGAGGAACATCTAACAGTGCATTAACAGATGTGGTACGATCTGTCCTTCATCTTAAATTTCATTCTGACCTCTTATAGCTGGAACAGGTACAGGCTCCCGCAGCCTGGAGCGAACATCCCTGAAACATTAATTAAAGCTACATTTTTAATATTTGCAAATATCCAAACCCTTTTATTCTAACTAGATTTTTTGGTTTATGTTGCTATGGGCTCTAGAATTTTATTAGATGTTTGGGGACAAAAAATTATTTTACTGCTTTGGAGTATAATCCTAGTTTTATTGAAAGTCCTGATTCCCTTTGTTTATGAGATTGGCAAGACAGAAGTTCCTGATGTATCACCTCTACAGTATTCATTATCAAGTTCTATGATGAACCACATCATCTTCCTTTTTTTACTCAGCAATACCAGAATTCTAAGGGTTTCCTCACCTGTTTTTCTAGTCTCATCTCAGACTTTCTCCCTTTCTGTGATAACATAATTTCATGTATTTTTGGTTTGGGTGATTTGAACAACATTTTTGTATTCTCTGTGTTATTCATCATTCTGCTTCACATACAACTGTGAATTTTTTTTTTTTTTAATGTTTAAATTTCAGCTGTCATGACAGAAGTCTTCTCTGAGCTGTCCAACTGTGATGCCAGTTGGGCACATAGCCAGTTGGGCAGATTGAACTGAGATGTCCAGTTGGACCAATTCCTCATTTGGGTTTGGAATCCAAAACAGCTGCTTTTGAAACTGAAATAAAGCTGTGTGTTAGCCCTTGCAACATACAATCTGTTGACCACACAGGGCTGTGGGGCACCATCTTTGCTCTGCAGCAGAAGCATTATTTCTGACAAGCCACCTGAAAGACATACACCCCCCAACAGAAGGGTTACTCATCCCAATTTCTCAAGCCGAGAGATGCGGCTTTGTAAGATGGAGAGGAGAGAAGGAACACAAAAGTGGATGAAGAAAATTACCTTTAGAGGGAAGCAGGACAGTACGAAAAAAGTGCAAGTTCTGAATCCACCTCATACTTATAGCAGAGAAACTGGAGTATTTAGTGGCCCATCAATTTACCCAAGCAAAGGTCTCTGCCCATGACTGGAGTTGCTTTTCCAGGTCTCATTGCAGAGGCTTATCAGTAATTCTCCAGGCCACTTACCAAGCTGCTTAGCACCATTTCTCTTCCTGAAGATACTGCTCCTGCCTGTCTGCTGACAAGGTGGGTTTGTATGTGCATTTCCTAATCCACATCAGTGGAGAAAATTAGCTTATATTTGAACTCATATTGTCTGGGGACCTGCACACATCTGCTACCTCTGCTACTTCTGGCTTGATGCAGGCTGGGCAACCACAAAGAGAAACATCTGAATCCATGGCAGTTAAGTTCCTGGAGCAGGTTCAGCTGCTGGAACTCCCACTGGAGTCATTAAACACCCTACATGGAAAGTAATTGGTTGTTTTTCTGGCATTCAGGGCATCTCAGGGAATGAGAAGAGGCATTCAGATAAAACCGAAACTGCCCTGGCCT